TCAGTAAACTTGGAAACTGGCCACAAAATTGGCAGGAGTGATAAAGCATAAATCTGGGGGTTTATGCTTTGTATGAAGTAGAGCTAAACTAATCTAACTAGTAATGATTTACTTAAGGTTTACACAAGCATAAAGAATATTCTTCATGTGGCTTACATGAACAATTACTGGTCACTGATGCACTTAATGATCCCTTCTGTAAACTCACTGGCATTCTTCAGATTGTAATTGAAGGTGGTCTTGTCTAACATCCATAGAGATGTTAGTGGAGTAGTTACAACTGATCTTTCTTTCAAGATGATATTTTTTCCTTTTAAAAACTTTTTAACACTTCTAGTTGACGAAACTCCTTTTTTTTTTTTTTTCCCTGGAGCTAATAATAACTGCATCATCCAGCATGGTGTATAAACACCTTGGTCCTTTGGTGACAGCTTTGACAAGCATTTGCAGCAATATGCTGATCTCCAGTTACTGTGGTACAGCTGGGTTGAGGCAGCTGAGAGCAAACTGCAGATTGAAATGGTTTTCAGGTAGCTCTTAGGTGGAAGTATCAGCTTTTAAGGAAGAATATGGCTGTGTGGGCAGCACATCCTTGTCTCTCTGCAGCTCCATTCCTGCTTGCCACTCTCCTCCATCCAGAAGCTCTGGTAATTTCAAGCCTTGCCTGAGGGTTCTGGTGACTTTTCAGTGTGCAGAAGGTTTTCTGTCTTTTCTTCTAAAAGGATTCATTTGTTGAAAACTGACAGAAGACTGGCTCTTGGAGACTGTCATAAGGACAATTCCTTATTGGCAGCAGCTTATACAGTAGTTGCTCAAAACTCCCTAAACAAAGTTTGTGCTACACAAGGGAGTGCTTCTACTTTATCCAATGAAAGAGCTTTGTTGGCTGCAAGAAAGAAATTCTTTGCCTGACCCTTTTCCCATGAAGACCACATATTAACTAAGTTCTCATAAAGCTTAGCAGCTGCAGCCTTTGACAGGAGACAGTTGCCTTCTTGTAACCCTGTGCTTGTAAAGGGTGTGCAAAAGGAGTAACTCACTACAGGGAGAAGCCACTTTAGGCCCACCCTTTCTAAATCCTCCTTTTGCCCCACTAAGAAAACCAGCTGTGTAAACCTCACAGGTGTGGGCCAGCTCTTCAAAGCACTGCAAAGAGGCTGTCCCTTCTCAGGGTGTTTTAAGTGTCCATCTTGAGTGCCAGTGTAGGGTTATGGAGTGTGCTGTTGGAAGAAGAATCTTCCTCAAAAACTGGGGATAGTTTCCTTCTGGTGCCAGAAACATGTGGGCAGTGCTGAATAAAAACCAGCCATGAGTCCCTTGCATCCTCTGTGTGGCTCAGCACATCAAGGGATAGCTCTTGGCAACATCAGCAAGGAAGGGCTTCCTTTAATCTGGAGAAATCCCAGCGTAACATCGCTGAGTCCAGGGAACTGAGACCTCAAGCTTGTGTGAGGTGAGTGAAAAGAAGGCTAAACCCCTGGGTTTACCTGAGTAGTTAAGCTGCAGTGTGGACATCTTCATGCCGTGTTGATGTCAAAGTTCTTTAGTGCTGAAAATGGTCCAGGTCAAATTAAACTTCTTTCTTTTCTTGTACTGCTTTGCAGGCTGAGCTTAATTTGGATGGGAGGAGATGTTATATAAATGCAGCTTTAGTGCAACTGCTTCTGACTTCAAGTAACAAAAACCTGAACTTTGCCATCCTGATGAGTGGACACTAATATGGGTGCATGGTAGTATGTGCAATGCAGAGTAGTTTACAAAAACCTTAACACAGCCCAGTTTAAAGGGTAACTGAATGGATTGGAATGATACAAATAAAGCTGTTTGTTCCTGTCTTTAGAAAGCCCCAAAGCAAAATTTACTGAAAATTTCCCCTTTCTTTCCTGCATTGTTGCACACAAACCTAAACAGTACAGGGATTTTTAGGATGACAGGTTCAACTTGTTTGTGGGTTTTGGTGGGTTTTTTTTCTTTTCTCCAGAAGTACCAACTGTAACAAAGCAGATCTTGAGACAAGACTCTGGTACTACCTCTGTCACAGTGGAGTGGAGTTCAAAACCTGTTTTAAGATTCGAGTCAGAAATTATATTGGTGACACTATTTCCAAAATCAGTTTGAGAATGCAACATCATATTCTAACACAGAAATCAGATGCATTTGAACTTGAACCTGTCCCTTAAATGAGTAGAAAACACAAGCATGAAGGATGTGCTGTGCAAAAAGCCTGACTGGGCACCTCGTCCTGTGTTCTGTCCGTGGAGGGAGGAGAGCACATAAAACAAGGAGTGGGAAACTGGCATTGCACTGAGTAGGAAGCTGTTCAGACTTCACAGGGAATGTGATGGCGTCTAAAATACCTTCACTTGCTTTGCATTTAAGCCCAAGACTGCAGGTGCTGTTGCTTCAAAATGAGGGATCCCCTTGCTGGACAGGCTTTAGCATCCCACTGTGTTTAAGGACCCAAGCCAGTGTCTTATTCCTGCTAGAACATTTGTCACTCTGCCAACATTAATGTTCTTTTGGGAACTGAGGGCTGCATTTCAAACTCTTCAATTTCACATGGTTAGGTACATTGCTCATGCCCTGTGTAACTAGGCAGTTTAAAAATAATGATATATGGAACTTCAGTTTAAATGAACTCATAATTGTTGCTCAGATTGTTTTCTCTATTAGTAAAAATGCTCATTCATTCCATATAAAGTGTTTAAAAAATACTACAGATGTTAATATAAATATGCAAAAGAAAATAAAATATGCCACTTTTAAGTGAACAGGACAAGCCAGGAATCTCTGAATTTCCCTAGATTGGGAGCCCATACTTGTAAAGGCAGTATGAATAGTATGAGTGAATTCCATAGCTTGATTTCTAGAGAAAATAAAGACCCAAAGTATAAATAATTCCATGTATTTATAAGTACAGGTCTGGCTTTATACCTGCTCCACTGTTGTTTGCTAATGCCTTCAGCCTTTGGAGACAGACTCCAGGGTAATTGTGTAGGAGCACCATGCCTTTGGCACCAGTTTATTAAACTCGGCCTGCTCCACTGCAAAAAATCACCCAAACTGACGTAATTTGATTTTTTGGATTTGACAAGATTCTAATGCAATTTTGATGTAAAAGAGATGGTGTAATTCATACTTACTTGCTAATGTAGTGACATGTCTGTGGTCTCTTGGCAGCTGGGACTTGAGGCTATTTTAAAACTGATAGTGTTGCTGCTGTATAATGTTATTCAGTAGGCAGATAGGTCAGTATTTTAATCAAGGACAGAAGGAAGAGATTATGGCAAACTAAATTTCTCATTTTAAGAGCCTTTTCTTCCTTACGTACATATGCAATGACTCGTTTATGTGAACATAATTTCCCTTTTAATAGAATTTTTTTAATACCACACCTTTTCCAAGTGAAATTAATTTGTGGTAATGATAGTGTTTCATTACATTGTTTTTGTGTAAAGAATTAGGTTGTACAACACATTTTAGGTTGTATTTTGTATCATTGTTGTCAATTTGACTTCCTGTGCAGGAGTTTTTGCATAACTTCTGTGACTGTTTAGCCAAGTGATTGATGATAATACATGGTCAAAATGCTGAAATGGGCATCAAACCAGAGCCTGTCCTAGAGCATCTGGTTATACATTGTTTCATGGGTTGCTCCTTTTCACTCTTCCTACTGCAGAGGTGGCAGCTACCTCTGTGGAAGCTCAGTGCCAGATTCCCTTTGAATTAAAATTTTTAGGGGAGAGCTGAAAGGACAGACTAGCAGACAGATTTGTAAAGGTAGTGTGAATATGAGCCATTAGCAAGAGGCATCTCTAGCTTTGTCAATTGTTTTGTTTCCTTTAATTTAATACTTATGCAACTTTTTAGTTCAAACAGCTCAAAATTTGAATGAAATAACTTAAGACACATGGGGTGGAAAAATGTCATCCTGCAGATTTGAATGTGGGCTATGTTCAGATGCCTTCTAAAGAAAAGAGAAAATTACCCTAAAATACAAATTCGCATCTAAAAATCTCCACTGAAAGAACTCCTGTGCCCTCTGCTGAGGGTTACCTTCCCAAAAAATCTGGCCTTGGCAGAGCTGCATCCTCTATCCTGATGTCTGGATTAACAGCTCAAGTAGGAGGTTGTAGCGAAACTCCTCTGAATTTACACCTAGAGAGTGAATCACCAGAGAGGTCACCGGTATTGCAGCTTTAACATAGGCACCAGCTCTATAAAAAGAGATTTAACTTGAGGAGGATTGTGTAATGCCTTTGTGTAGTGTGCGAATGTGACTTTTTTTGGATGAAGAAGTGCCAAGGCATCTGTGGAAACACTTTTGTTTGTCTGCAGGAGATGAGCAAACCAGTTGGAAGAAACGTCAGTTAGCCATGCTAGCAGGAAGCTCTTCCTTTAGAAGTGGTAGCTGTTGCTGGAAGACATTAGTATTATTCATCCAAGTTCTAAACATAGCTTATTTATTCAAATTTTAGTCTAATAACACCCAGTTACAATGCAGAAATGATGAATAGAGCTATTGGATAACTTCAGGAAGGCCTGAAAATGGCATGCAGTACAGGATTGAAGGTGTAACAACACAACACTATACCAAATAAAACTTCTCGGGTTTAGTTCAACACTAGCTGAAGGACTGATGTGTTTTTCCCCTGAGTTTCTCGGGCTCTGGAAGGGCTCAATATGTGAACAAAGATGTCTTTCATAATAGGGAGGCTGTAAAGCAGCATGTTGTTTGAAGTACTGAGAATTTAATCTTGTTACTAATTTTGACAAGTATTTCTGCCATGTCTGTCATTGCATTCAACACCTCTATAGTAATCCAGTCTTGGAAGGTTTTATTTATCTTGTGGATTTACCCTTTGCCAGTGGGGGGAAGAGAGATTGTGAGGGGGAGTATTTAATGTCTGCTTCATGTTTTTTCCCTTCCCCCGTACATTGTATATCTTTTCATTTTGTTCATACTTGCTTTTTTTATTTCTGTTTGTTATGTTGTGTAGTTTTGTACCAATATCTACAAGCAGATCTCCATGGCAAGAGCTCAGACACTGCAGACAAAACCTCAGGTAAAGAGGGGTTAAGGACAAAACAATGATCAGGACCTCTCTATTTCTTTATTTTCGGTCTTTTAACTCTTCTTGAATCAAATTAAAGATCACAGATCAAAATCAAAACCAAAATTCTTGGACTTTTTCATTCTTTTACCTAATTTAAATCAATATTTGCAAAATTTTGTTCTATTTCTTGAAGATCTCTTGGCAGATGTGGTTCTCCAGCAAAATCCCACTGGTGATGTCAATATATTGGTGGAGAGGAGACTGTTTGAAGCCTCTGTGGTTAATAGACTGAGCAATATCTTGCATGAGGCAATTTTAGAGGATACTTATCTGGAAATCTAAAAAGGCTTAGTTGCATGGATTTGTGAATAGAGGGGACTGGAAGGCTCAGCTCCACCAATTTCTGCTACAGAGACACAAAGTTTCCTGACACCTCAAGGGAGCTTATTTTGCAATCTAGATTTGAATAGCAATACTGGTGAGGTTTACATAGACACCCCCCCAAAAAATTCCAAATAATTTAGATGTACAGCTAGGGTACACATCCCCCTATGGTTTCCTGCTTAAATATAATCCGTTAATTCCTTTACATATTGGCACACAAAAAGCAGGTTAGACATTGCCCTCCTCCTCAGCCCCCCAATCTGCTACCATCTTACAGGCAACTTAGATTTTAAAACTTTGGAATGAAAACTGTTTTGTCTACCTTGTCCCAGTCCTCCCTTTCATATCATCTCCATCCTCTGCTGTGAGATTATGAGAACGTGAGGCCAGAAATAAGAACTTTGAGTTAATGTCCTTGAACTCTGATCAGCCTCCCATTGCCACCTTGGCATCGTGGGAAGGCATGGAAAAAAAGCAGCAGAGCAGTTTCTGCACTACTTAAACTAACCAGTTCCTGAGCCTGATAATTAACAGCTTGCTTGCTCCCCAGCCAAGCACTGTTATTCCCATGCCCACCTTGTTTTCTCACTCACACATTGTGTATTATTTGCTTCTCGTGTAGGGTCATCCTGTTATTTAATAAGCTTAACAAAATTCCATCTGCAGGGAGAGGACATAGCTGGGTGTGCTGAGCACTTTTAATTAGAGGTAGCTGTCACAGAGGTGGTCACCACAAGCACTGTGCATAGTTGTGCTCCCAGTACGTTCCTCTAAAGGAATAAAAGATATTTTTGTTTCTGTAGTCACAAGCATTCCTGTCTACATTCCAGAGCTTGGAAGGAGTGACAGATAGCTTGCATTCCCTGGACCAGAGGGTGTGGGTGGAAGATGCCAAAGCTCTGTCACTGTGACAATTAATTGAAACAGGTCTGTTTAAACTTGAAGATCACTAAATTTTTACATAGGATCACTCTTATGAAAGTCATCATGATCAATGACTTCATGTCTGTAGCTGCATTTCCCTAGTAATTGTATCCTTCATCCAAAACATGGATCAGGATTGTTTTCTAATTTTTAGCAGTCTTTTTGTTTTGAAATAAAATTAGCACAGTTTTTTTTCTTGATCTAGCATACATCACCTCACCATTTACCTTTAATTTGAAACTAAATGTCCCATTAAAAGCCAGCTCCTTAAAGAAAGGCACAAGTTCTTTCAGAGTACCATTTACAGGATGTAGTATCCAAATGAAATGGAAGCTGACACGTTTTACACAATTTTTAAAAGTATGTGAATTTTGTTTTTAAATATCCTGAAAGCAAAAGGATTCAATTCAAACCCAATTTTTAAATTTGTCTCTGAGAGGCAGTTGTCTCTGTCTGAAAGTTCTGCTGTTTTCATGGGCAGCATGCATCAAATACAATGTTCCTGTCCATATTCATAATACTGTTATCTGGCCATTAGTATTTTAGCAAATGGATTCAGTTTGCATTTAATACTTGGTACATTGTAAATGTGCCTTGCTAATCCTTTTGGAAAGTTAGCAAAGAAGCACTTAAAAGCATGTGGGAGGTTTAATAAAAATTCAGTGTTTGTCTAGAATAAGAGCAAGTAAATTCTCTCTGCCACGTGTGACTCAGCAGTTCAGAACCACCAAGGCTGAGAGCTGATAGAGTCAGGTGCCCTTCAGTCCAGATCCCTTCCCTCATGTTTGCCAAGAAGATTCTGCTCCCTGTGGTTCTCTTCCAGCTGCTTGTCAGTGTGGAGCTGTCTGTCATGGTCCATGCCTCTCATCTGGTTTTGGTGAGAGTTGGGGTGTTTCCTGCTAGTTTGGGCAAATGATGTGTTTCACCCTCACACATAGGCTGCTCTTGTCACATCCTTGTACTGTTCTTTCTTCTTAAATTATGTATCTCCTCTAAAAGCTTGCCTTGCTTGTCTTTCCGTGAGGCAGCTTTGTATGGAGGGTGTCATGTCATGTCCTTTCAAGCTAATGACAGGTTGATTTACTCCAGTGTGGTGGTGTGGCTCTTCTCTTTTCCTTCACGATCACTGATTGAGAGAATTGTATTTTCCCTATGTGTGTTTTACCTTAAGTTTATATTTTTTCTTAAACCACTGGATTGGTAAAATACAAACACTGCAGAGACCCTACAAAGGTAAGTTGTTTGTGTCATTTAGTTTGCTGGAGAAAATGAATCCATGTTGTCAACCTATGGGGACGTTGTAACTGCTGGCTTTGGGCAGCTGGATTTCTTAAAGCAATGCTTTTAATTGATACCCAAAACTTTTTTTATTTTTTTGTCATGACAAGGGAAACCTTTAAAGAAGTTTAAACTTCCACAGTCACTTGCAGTTAAGGGTAGAGAACTTCGTGAAATTATCCAGATATTATCTTCTAACTTTTTGTAGAGGCAATCAAATAAATGTAGTTTCAAATACCTGCCTTTCTGCCAAGTCACAGTTGTAAGGAAAACTCTGTCAGATGTGAGAATGATTGAAGATCTAATTAAAAATAACCTCATGCCTATTTGTTTGATTATGCAAGCATGTTTATTAACTATTAATTAACTATTTGATTCTAAGAGCTAAAACTGTTGCTGAGTATGTCTAAGTACATACCTGGAGAGAAAATTTTTTTTGGCTTTGCATGGTAGGATCTTTATTTTATGAAATTTTGGGAATTGATGGATAACACTGTGTCTTTAATGGCTCTGCAAAGAACTTTTGGACCAAAATAAGAGGTTATTCTACTGCTGTGTTCTGAAATAGAGAAGTGGTCTCTGTTTTTGGTGTACTTGTCTGAGCTTGAGCATGAGGATGATCTTCCTAGATTATCAAATCCAACCATTAAACCTGGCACTCCCTTTTTACTACTAAAACATACTCCAAATGCCACATCCACATGTTTTTTTAATACTTCCAAGGTGATTCCACCACTATGATGCTGCAATGTGTCTAAATCCTGTGTTCAAAATAAGTATTGTATAAAAATAACACTATCTTTAAAATTTTAGAGATTGCTTGGGAAGCAAAAGATTTTAAACCCCTACTCAGAATGCACCTGCATTCTGTGAGTGCTGTTGGAAGAGTAGGTTTAATGTGATAGTGTAATAGATGGTCATTTAATTAACAGATTTTAAGAACTCCTTGTTTTGATTACTGTTTTGCATGCTGTAGACAATCCAGCGGGGGGAACTCCATTGTATGCTGATAACTGGATGCATTTCTGCTTGAAGTCTAATTTAAATTTCCTCCTTGCACTTGCTGGATTCTTTGTGTGGAAAAAGTCTGTCCTTGAAATTTGATGTAGAAAAAATAAATACTTAATTTTTGCATAAAACTTGTAATATAAAAATATCATCTATAATGAATGCTTGAATAATTTATAATAGCCAAGAGGTGCTCATATTTTTTATTGACCTTAGAGACAGCTTCTGACAAACTTGAGGGAACATGCTCTTTCACTGACTAAGTAAAGCTATCTCTAGATATTCAAGCTGGAGAAGGTCAAGAATCCAGTTGATTGCAAGGTCTTTTTATATAAAATTTCAGCAGTGATTTTTCTCTTGACAGTATATTTCCATTCTGTAATTACTAAACTGGAAGCTGTGTTGCAACTGCAGTAAGATTTTGTGGGAAGGTGGGTAAGGTCAGACTGGATTAAAATTTTTCCTGTTCCTCTTTTAAAAGTAGTGTCTCTGTTGAGAGTCAAAATGTCTATCAGATTTCACAAAAAAAATAAAAAGAAAACCTGAGCCAGCTCTCTCTGAAGCCTCGCTGCTGTTTTGAGTCATTATTTCTTCATTTGTTGCAGGAGAGAATTTTGACCAGAGTCCCATTAGAAGAACCTTCAAGTCCAAAGTTTTGGCCCATTATCCTCAGAACATCGAGTGGAACCCCTTTGACCAGGATGCTGTCAACATGGTAGGTAGAGAAAAACCCTTTTCTCAAATTGTTACCTGACAGCTCTTGAGATGTTCCTGGGTTGTTTTCAGCCAGCCCTTGTGATGCATGTGGTTGTGGTGCTTCTGCTGGGACTAAGAGCTCTCACTGGGCATGCTGCATGAAAAGCTGTAGAGGAGGAGTTACTGTGAAAACACAGAATACTTTCAGGCACAACAGAAGTGAAGTGTTATGTTTCCCTCATTAGTTCTAAGGGTACTGTGTGATGAAACAAGTCTAAGCACCATCCCAAGGACTGGGTGAGAAGGGGTGTGGTCACCTAGGACACCCATCCACAGGTAGGAAGGAGGTAAACCCAGGAATTTTGAGATTTTGATACCCCTGTGAGGTTTTTGAGTACAGAACACCTTGCTTCTGCAGGCAAGGGAAAGGGTAATCTTTACACAGAAGCTGGAATTTACCTAAATCCCAGCTTTTGCTGGGTCATCACTTTTAATGGCACCTCTGCACCAATACACCTGCTGTACATCTCTGTCCTCTCAGTCACATTTGGTGTGGGCATCTATGTGGCTGAGTCCCATGGACTGCAAAATTAGGGGGAAATAGTTCTTGGAGTGGGGGCAGTGACAGCTGAAAGGCTGATGATCCACTGAGAATTTTTCTGAAGAGCTGGTAATTAAAGGATGATTCCAGAATCACCAAAGCACTTGTTAAGAACATAACCTGACAGAGACAACAGATTACTTATTTGAGCTTCCCAGTACAGAAAATGCCATATGTGTCTTAATTTAAATGTAACCAATTGTTGTAACAGTAATGTTGAACAATATTACCACTTCTAGCTCTTTTCCAAAATGTGTATTTCGTCTAACTGAGTATTGGAAAATTAGGGACCCCCTTCCCCAAGTCTAGGTTTGCATTTGAGGATGGCAGGACAGCACACTACCTGCTTCAAAACAGAACTGACCTCATAGAATGGTGCAAGTGAGAAGTTAGGAGATTCTCCTGGCCCTCACCCAGCAAATAGAGAGGTGGGGAATACATAAACCCATATTAAGTTGGCTTTTGCAAATGCAAAAATGCATTTGGAACTTGCCTGCAGTCATGAAGATGTAGAAATCTGGAGTTCATCTCAGTTTCCACCGAATTTTATTTTTAGTGCTGTGCCACATATTTAACAGGAAAGCACAGGAGCTGGAAGCAGCAGTGACACAGAGCTGGTACTGTGGCACTGCACTCACATAGAAAGGCAGAGATGAGCCCCGTCACGCCCTCTGCCTGCTGACAGCTGGGGATTTCTGCCTTCTGCTTCCAAATGTGCCCTGCTGGAGTTGAGGCGGTATTTGGGCTGGTCTCCACACCACTTTGCTTATACAGAGGGCATGAAGGACTCAGAGCAATGCTTCTTCAGCATTAAAGATGGTAACAGGTCAGCTGCCAAGGCTATAGGCGCCTTTTAGTTCTGCCTTTGCATTGGGGATGTTCCAGTATGAAATGATGGGGGATGTGCAGCAGGAATAAAGCAGCTGGAATTGCTGTGTTATTTTTCTCTCACATTACAGTGGAGAATGTCTAATATTCATGAAGTGTGATCACAGTGTCGGACAAAAATGGAATGCTAAAACCAGCAAGAGACCTATTAAAATAATTGAACTGAGCTGCATTGAGCACATTTTTCATTTGCAATGTGTCTTGGAGAAAAAAAAAGCATTTACTAACAGCAGCAGTATTTAATGATCTTTTAAATTATCTTTTGGAAAACTTCTTTATTGTTTTGATCTGAAACATCATTTAAAGTAATATCCACCTCCACAGAATCCCTTGAGGTAATTATTGGCCTTTCTGATCTTGCCTTGCTGCATTAGTTCTGCCTATGTGTTTGCTTTTTGTGAGCTTCCAGAAGCAATTTTCCTCAGAGAAGAAAATGCATAAATCCTTGAAGGTTAACTTGTGAGAACTCTGGCTTTGCTGGATGCCTAAAGAATTTCAATTGCCTTCTGGAACCATCCTGTTGTTTTAAAAATAGCCCCCTGAAGTCCCAAGCAATCAAGCTGCCAAAGAGTCATGTTTTCTCTCTGTTTCAAAGCACGTGTCAAAGTACAGAGTTCTCTTTAATAGGGAATTGTGTCTTTCCCCCTGCTGCTTTTTGTGATTATCCCTGCCTAACCTCACATACTATCTTCTGTGACCATTCTGCAAGTAAGTGTTGTACCAAGCTAAAGTTCTCAGTAGAAAGATACAGAAATTTTCAGAATATGAGCTTCCTATTTTAGCCCTCTGATTCATCAAAGTATATAAATTTTTGCCTGTATTTCTGAAACGCAAGGATGTATTATCTGTTTAACGTCTCATGTACTGAAATAAAAGAATTAAAGGTTCCCTGGTGGAATTTGAAGGAACAGGATTTAACACAACTAAAAGCATCTTTCTCTCCACTCCTTCGCCCACAGTGCAGTTTGGGTATGGAGCTTGCTGCCATGGCATGTTGTGAGCATGATAAATGTGTAGAGGCTTAAAAAGTGAATTGAAGGATCTAATGGAGAAGAGGTGAACCAGTGCTACTGGGCAGTGGTCCAGAGGAGACCTTTGGTTCAGAAATGCCTGCAAATGATGATGACTGGGAGAAAGAGGGAGGGATTATGGGGGTTGTGTGTTCTGCCTCTGTGCTTGGGGAAAGGGTATCTCCTACTCAGGACTTCCAGAGATGGGTTATGGATTAGCTGACACCTTTTTATCCATCCTGGTGCAGCTTCCTTTTGTTTTTACAAACCATTTTGTTTACAAGCCTTATTGCATATATGGTGTAATTCCATGGTTTTCTGCTGATGGATACCTTTAAATATAAATAGTAAAGTGTCCGGGAAACCAAAATCTTGCCCTTTGATCAATACTCTTGGGTAGTTTTCAGTGTTTCTACAAAGATGCAATGCAGGTGACTGACTTGTGTTCTCAGCATTAGTGAGCCAGATTGACACCAGCAGGCTAAAATTTCACCCTCCCTTAGCACATCCCAAGCTGCTCTCCAGCACTTTCCTGTGGCATGTGTGACACAGATGAGATGGGAAGTGATTGATGTCCGAGGCCCTAAGATGAAAGTTTTCATGCATTAACTGCAAATTCAAAGCTTTCTGTATTGCTGGAATATGATTACAGACTCTTCCTTTTGATCTTAGCTTCTTAAGTGACTCCTGGTCATTCCTCCTGCCTCGGTNATCTTCTTTATTTTTTTTTTCATCTGCTTTTTCCTGTGTCCTCTTACAGGTCTAAAAACAGCAGGAGTCTCTGGGCCAAGGTTTGCAGCCAAGGTCTTAAAAGGTCAATATTCTGCAAGTGTCAAGTTGTGTCTGAAACTTAATAGATGGGCATCCCTTTGTGTGTGTTTACCCAGTATATAAAGGACAAGGGAATCATAATTAAGGCTTGGAGGAAATTTATTTAAACAGCCTTCTGAAACTGTCTCAGCTGATCTGAATTTCCCTGTTGCCTATCTGTGCCTGATTGTAATAGCATATCTAATTTGCTTGTCCAGGTGTTTTTCTGTAAAGTGAAGAAAATTTAATCTCTGATAGCACTGAGATTTAAGCCTATGATTTCAGCCTTGTTGGCTTTGATAAGGCTTATAGCCACCATTGAAAGCCCACATTCTAGAAATCACTTTTTATTAAACAAGCCTGCCAAAAAATGAGGTTAAGAGAGATATTTATTGTGTAGAATAAATTTAAATAAAGTGTGAAACAAGGATTTTTACTACTTTTTTATTGGAGAAGCCTTAACCATGGCATTGCTGTTAATGCGTCAATAAAACTATAAAGCTCTTGAATAAAAATGTGGCTGCTCTTCATAAATAGTTCAAGCTGCAGTTTCATGGTTTGTGTCAGCAAAGCCTATCAATTGAATTAAATTCTTCTGCCAACTCCATGCTACTTATTTCCCTACACATCACCTTTTTGAGCAATACATAAGAGCTGCCTTGGATAATTTAGGGGCCTGATAGCCTGTTGTGAAGTGAGTCTGGACCACTTGCCTAATTCCCAGCTTTACCAGGCTGTTGAATGGTCTCTGGAAAGTGCATAGCTGAAGTGCAGGGTAGGATGTTGCAGAAAATATATGATTATTTCTCCTGACCTCTTCCAGCATCAAAGTAGTTTACTCCTGGTCCAAGTGAGACACTAGGGGATGCACTCAATTGTGCCTACATTTGCATGCTGTGGTAAAGTTGGTTTCTACTGTTGCCTTTTTTTGATAAGGAGCACTTTGAAGGTTCTCCTTCTCTTCTTTCCTTCTGTTTCTTCAGATGGTACAAGTAAAGCTATAGTTCTTCATTTATAAACATACCAATTTAGCATGTTTAACACGAGGTGTTTCCTGCTGATGCGCAATTCAAACAAGTTTTGCTGGATGTTTGTTATTTTGTATTAGATGGTTGATAGCATTCCCAAGGAATGTCTGGAAGAGTGCCTTGATTATCACTAGGGCTATGCTTCAGAGAAACACCCAGTGTAGCAGAATGACTGCAAAAGATTTTGCTGAGAGGTAAATAAAAAATGAGACTTTCATAGATTTTGGGTGTTTCCCTCCCTGCCCCTCCTTTTTTCCAGTCTAAGCTATTTGGTAGCACTTAGAGAAGAAAGTAAGCATAATAGCTGCCAGTCAGTTGGGGTTTGGCTTGTTTGTTGGTTTTTTCCCCCAGAAAATTAGGGCAGATCAAAGAATTCCAAGAAGTCTATGTAATTTAAATTCAGTGGTATAAGATGCTTCCTTGGCTCTCTGATTTTAGAGTACTATGGGCATGATATATGCAAATGAGAGCAAAACTGGATGTTTTGATGTGATGCTTAAGTAAATGACACAAAGACTATTCAGTAGTGAAAACAATTTCAGCAAGTAATGAAAATGAGTCGTAATGACTTAATAGATGGATCATTTTGGAGGGTGCTTTCCTTTCTTCCGTCATGCCTCCCTCTTAAGCAGCATCATTTTTAGGCTGTTTGTTCTTGGATACTTTTTATGTCTAAAGGTAAATGGCTTGTTGTGATGCAGCAGATGAAAAGAATGTGCCTGTACAGCAAAAATAGCAAAATAAAATTGTGTCTTACATAACTCTGTCTATTTCTTTTCTCCTCTCTTAGCTGTGCATGCCCAAGGGGCTGTCTTTCAGGACGCAGGCAGATAACAGAGACCCACAGCTGCACTCGTTCATCATCACCAGGGAGGATGGCTCCCGCACCTACGGCTTTGTGCTCACCTTCTATGAGGAGGTCACGAGCAAGCAGATCTGCACAGCCATGCAGACGCTGTACCAGATGCACAACGCAGAGCAGTACAGCAGTGTCTGCGCCTCCTCCTCCTGCAGCATGGACTCCCTGGCCAGCAGCATTGACGAGGGTGACGCCACATCCCTCGCCAAGCTCCAGCGCTACAACTCCTACGACATCAGCAGGGACACGCTCTACGTCTCCAAGTGCATATGCCTCATCACGCCTCTGCCCTTCATGCAAGCCTGCAAGAAGTTCCTGATCCAGCTCTACAAGGCAGTGACCTCCCAGCAGCCACCACCTCTGCCCCTGGAGAGCTACATCCACAACATCCTCTATGAGGTGCCCCTGCCACCCCCGGGGAGGTCACTCAAGTTTTATGGGGTTTACGAGCCCATCATTTGCCAGAGACCTGGTCCCAATGAGCTGCCGCTCTCTGACTACCCTCTCAGGGAGGTCTTCGAGCTGCTGGGCCTGGAGAACCTGGTCCAGGTCTTCACCTGTGTTCTTCTGGAGATGCAGATCCTCCTGTACTCACAAGGTGGGCACTCATCCAGCAATGCCTGATTCCAGCATGTAGTTCCTGGGCAGCTGCAGCCAGAGGAGCTCATAGAATTTCATGTTATACAGAGCTAAGGTCGATTTTTGAAATGTGATAATGCATTGAAAAAACGAGAGAAATTAGTGTGTCCTAATGAAAGCTCTAAATAATTGTTTCCTCCAGGCAGTCTAGGTGCTGCTTGTTTAATTATGCATTGTATTTATCACTTGTGGCAGCTAGCAATAGAATACATTTGATTATTGTCCTCACACTGCCCTTGATCATGCAAGACAGCATGAAATTAATCCTATCTTCTTCAAAAATGCCAGCAGAAAGTAATACATCTTGCAGAAGACACTCTTGCTACTACTTTGTTTTTCAAATTTCAGCAGCATATCAAAGTCTGGTGTAATTTCCTGCCTCCCATATGATGGATATGTTCTTGTTAAAACACAGAGTGTTTTAGCACTTGGAGGCTAAAGATTTAATGGTGGGTTGAAACTGAGCGGAGCTACAGGTCATTCCTTTTTCGTCCTGCTTGAGGTATTTGGGAACGTTGCTGACAAGGATGCTGGTACTTCTTTTTGAGACACTAAGACTGCAGTTGGCCAAACACTGGCAGAAGTTCCTTGCACAGAGCCTGTCCATGTTCCATGTTGAAGTGTGCCAGCAAGCTTTGGAAAATCTGGTTTTGAAAACCTTTCCTGTTATGGTTGTGTCTTTCTGTAAAAGTGCAAGACACTGCTGCAAGTTTACGTAATCCTGACTTAGTACTGGGCATGCTTTGGGATTTTATACCCCATTACTGTTTCCTCTAGGATGTTGATTCCTGTGAGTCTGGCTCTCGTGATATTCAGATGCCCAGCAAGTTCAAGCTTTCTTGCTGACTTTCAAGGGGATGTTCAGACTTTTTGACTGTTCCTTTAAGTCTCACTGGAAGTGAGATGTAATTTGGGGTCCCAAATGGCATCTGTGATTCTGACCCTGAATTAGAAAAATGTGCATCAGGGAAAATCTTTTGGGGTTTTGGGGAGTGGTTTCATCAGAGGAGAATGAAAAACCTGGAGCCAGGAGGTACACGTGCCTTTTAGTGAAAAGAGGAAAAGATGCTGAATACCTAGGCTTTTGAAGAGAAGTGGCTTGAGTAGCAGACAGCTTGAAATGGAGTAGGGAGAGAGGATGAGAAGTGGTCTAAAATAAGTATGGGTAATGAACCTTCAGGCTCCAAAAGGGATCGCTTGGGTTTGTCATAAGAAAGAAAAGGTCAGGAAGCTGTAATGGTAATGCTGATAACTAAGTGACTGAGAATGGGGGAAAAATGTTCAGGGAGGTGGAAAAAGGGTAGTTCTTCTGCAAATGACTGAATTCAAAGGATTGATAGTTCTTTGCAGAGCTCTTCTCCACGTGGACTCCAGGGGTTTGCTTTCAAGAACTGAAAATGAAAGGTTTTATCTTCTCTCAGTTTGAAGTGTGAGCAGAAATCCTGCTGTTCGTTTTGATTAGGCTGCTTTTCCCCTCCCTCCTGCTTCTGTGTGTGCACTTATCCCCTTTCTTCCTCGGTTTGAATCGTGCTGCCTTTGCCACTTTGCACTGGGGTTTGATATTAAGCAGCAGTACCACTGAAATTCCTCTCACCCATCCCTGCTCATCAGTCCCACCCTGGTTCCTGCTTATGGACTCACTGAGAACTAAGAATTTTTTTTCTTTTTTTTTCTCGCTGAAATATGGTAGCATTAGGAAAAATGTGCTTGTCAGGTTACATTTTAGTAATACTTTGTGCATGTGGAGAGCAACCAGTATATGTATTACTTTTGTAATAGTCATTGAGACAGGTACAAAATACCTACTAAATAATGTTGACTCAGCCTTCATGTCCACCAGAAGTTAGATAAGTGTTGTTCTTCCAATTACTGGCTATAATTTAAGGATTTACTTGGTTTGTTTCATTGTGTGGGGTTTTTTTAAAAGAAAAGTGAGATAGTGAGAAGTAATCCTTTCCACCCTTAAAATATCCCCTCTCTTCTCTTCTATTTGTGAATCTGGGGATGTCCTTGACATGACACTTATTTGCCTGTCTAACACAGACACCATTTGATGGTGCATGGGGGGAAGTATATAGCTGTATTAGGGAAATTCTGTGATTATGTAAATAGCAGCATTATGCTGGTTCCCAGAGGTGAGGAATGTGGAGTGGAGGGCAAGTGCAAAGCCTCAGTTTTGGCATACCCTGATAGCTGAGTTCTTGGCTAATTGTGCACTGAGGCTTCTTTTAAATGTCAGTTTTGCAATTCCTAAAAAAGAAAACAGCAGCTATTTTCCAATTTGAGATATAACCAGCCTAGAAGGTACTGAAATCTGCTCTCTTCAGCTTTGAGATCCATCAGGGAGAAACACTTTTTTAACTCCCAAGTTCTTTCAAGGCAAAAGATGAAAAGGCTTTGGCTGACATATCTCTTGTTCCAAAATAACAAATGGGAGAGGGATTTTGCAAGTTCACCCTTCTTTCTCTTCCTGCTTTGAAGAGGGTTGACTCATTGGACTATGTTTCCAGAGGCCTGGCCTTGCTGCAAACGTCCCAAACTCAACAAGAGATTAGTAGAAGATCCTCCGGTTACAATTTCAAGCAAGGCAGCGTTATTTACACAAAATCACAATTCACTGACATAATCTTGTAATACTCAAGAAATCAGAGCTGGACCAAAACCTACTTCAGTTCACTAAACTATTTCAGTGAGAGCTGCTGTTAACATATATGGGAAATGTAAGTTGACTTTTTGGTGGTTCTCATAGACCTGTTGAAAGGAAGCTTTTAATTTAAGCTTGCCAAAAAATTAGTTCTTCTATAGAATAAAGGCTTCTTTTGGAAGGTGGGTGAAAATATAAATTGTTGCACAACCCTGACCATACAATGAGCCTAGTTGGTAATAACAGCAGTGAATGGCTGGCAGGAAGGTTGCACAGAGACTATACTGGCTTTTCTGGAGTGTTTTTTTCTCAAGGGAACTAGAAGCTGAGGACGAAAAAGTTTATTTTTAACCCTGCAGTTGGGGCATAATGTTTCCAGCAGCCTTAACAAAAGCATCTTAAGTCAATGAAGAGGTGAGGGTGTTGGGTGGCTTTTCCCAGCTTGCCCTGGATGAGTTCCCAGCATGATACAAGAGTGTCTGGCACAGCTCTGTCTTGGGAACAGGACCAATGAATGGCTGTTTGTGCCATGACTGCTACAGTCATCTTTGGCTATCCAGTTGCACTGTTGGTGGTGTCTTAGGGGTGACTGGTACCCCATCACTTGGGAAATGCAGGGATTGTAGTGGATTGTAACTTTGCTTTATAGCTGTGGTGGTCAAGCCAGAGGGCTGAAGAGACTGGGAGCAAAGAATGATGAGCTCATTTTTTAAGCTGCTTTGTTCCCATACGTTTTGGACTGCAGAGCTGGGTAGCAGGCAGAGACCTGTGCTTGCACCTCAGTGGCAAAACTGAAAAGATCAGACCTTACTGTTTCTGGAGACTGTGTGGCCTTCCAAGGAGTTAATCACAACCACTGCTGGTGGGAAGTGCCAACTTTGGTCTGCAGAGTTGGTATGGAAACCCATACCTGAAATCACTTTCACTGTACATTAATTCCTGCAGCTTCAGGTAATGTCCTTCTGCATATAGAGAATATTTTTAAGATTAAATAGGGAAAATTTTCAACATTTTGGCTTTGAAAACCAAAGGGAGGGATTAGATACGTTTTCCCTGCAATTCTTCAGGGTGCAATCTTTGCAGTGCTCTTGTAAGTGCCCTTTATTCAGAGCACAGCTCTCCTGTGCTACTGTGCAGATGTAAGGTCTTGTTTATGTCCACTCCTCAATAACTACTACAATTTCCAAAGGATAAGTAACAAAACACCACTGGTGTGAGATTCCTGCTGGACAGAGATGAATTAAACTGTGAGCTCTGTGGAAGCCTCAGCAATCCATTTTGTATGTCTTCCTTTCGAGGGATTTACGCATGAAAGGGAATGTGTGGATGAGACAGAGATAAACTTCTTAGAGCTTAGGCTGTTTCTCTCATTATAATTTTGAGCGTTTTCCAAGTTGTTTTTCCAAGGGCTTGAGTAATTGCTCCACCAAGATTGAAATATTCTTTGCATTTTTTTTTTTAATCTTAGAAATTATTATACAAATGACTATGCATATATAAAGTCATTGCCTAGAAAGGGTTGTGTCTCAAAGATCTTTCTTGTGAAGTCTGTTTTGGGGTAGATTTTAAAAAACTAATACATGCATAATGTGTTTGCCTTTTAAAGCATTTTTACACCAAATAGTTACATAGGAAACCTTTGCTTTTCTACTCATTATTTAAATAGTTGCCCTCCACACTAATATTCATCCAAATCAGTGGGAAGTTATTGCAGAGAACAAATTATATGGGGACAAAATCTATGTGTTCTGTGGAAGAAACCTGGGTTTAGGGCCTCAGTAGAACTACACTTGGAGGCTGCAGTGCATGTTTCCCTGGAAAAAGGAGAAGTAATTGGGTAGAGAAATCAGAGAATGACATATAGGCTTCCTTTTTCAGTTAGGTGAAATGACAGAATTGTTTTTTAATTAGAAGTTGCTCAATTTTGTTAGCCGAAGTCAGTATGACTTGAAAAGTGAAGATTTTAAAGCATCTGGAAGAAAGGAGTGGGAGCTGGTTCAGGTCTGTGCCACAGCCCCACTCCTGTTTTTGTTCACAGTGAGCTGTAAAGAGAGATTGGGATACTGCTTTTAACACTCTGCACACACACACTACAGCCTCTCCACTTTTTTTTTTCCTTGGATCTCATTTTTTTCCATGATGAAACATCTTTACCTTTTCAGAATGAGAGGAATAAAGTTAAATTAGGCCTTTATATTGCAGTTATGGCAAATGCCAGATAAATAATGTGGCAACCTAAAGTGATCTGGAGCAGTTTTTCCTGCTGGACTCTTGTGTCCTCCCCATCATCTTGCTGCTGGGTGGGGAGCCTGTTC